TCCTAGAAATAAAAAAAATAAAAAAAAATAAAAAAAAAGAGCAGTTCTCGGTTATTGCATAAAGTCTAGGGATTAAGGAAGATTATAAAGAAGGAAAAAATGACCCCAAACCTTTCTTGCTTCATTTTATTTTATTTTTTAAATGATTTTTATTTTATTTTTTAAGATTTACTTATTTAAGTAATCCCTACACCCAATGTGTGGCTTGAACTCAAGACCCCAAGATTAAGAGTCACGTGCTCTACCAACTAAGCCAGCCGGTGCCCCCTTGCTTCATTTTCTTTTCTTTTTCTTTCTTTCTTTCTTTTTTTAAGATTTTATTTTTACGTAATCTCTGCACCCAACATGGGGCTCGAACTTACAACCCTGAGATCCAAAGTTGCAGGCTCTACCAACTGAGTCAGCAAAGTACCCCTTTTCCCTTGCTTCATTTTAAATTTCTTTCTTTTTGTTTTTTATTTTATTTTTTATTTTATTTTATTTTATTCTTTTTATTTTTGAGAGAGAGGGAGAGACAGGGTGAGCAGGAGAGGGTCAGAGAGAGAGAGGGAGACACAGAATCCAAAGCAGGCTCCAGGCTCTGAGCTGTCAGCACAGAGCCGGAGGAGGGGCTCAAACCCACCAACTGTGAGATCATGACCTGAGCCACCCCGGCGCCCTTGCTTCATTTTAAAGGCAACTGCCTGGTATCTGACCCAGAGCTGACACATCACAGAATTGTGTGTTTTTGCCATTCTTCAGGCCACAGCCACCTACCTGCGAACACACACACAGAGACACACACACAGACACAAACATACAGTGAAACTACACAGTTTCCAGAGAGCAAACTGTGTTTCTAGTAACAAACCACAGTCTGCCTCTAGGACGTGTGGCCACGCTGTGCCCTGAGAGAGGAGGCTTGCACGGGAAGTGTTCCTGCCCAGAGCCGGCAGCCAGGCCTCTGGGCTGCAGTAGGCAAGCTCCAGCAGGATGCCAGGCTGCCGGCAGGCAGGAAGGCGTGCTGCTCCGCTGCTGCTCCGAACCTCTCCCCGTTGTAATTTACCAAACCCATCTGGGGCTCCTTTGAGTTGTTTTCTGGAAATGCCACATTTCAAGGGTCTCCCCGTTAGAAAAGGTCAGAGAGTTCACACAGGCCTTTCATGTTAAGGAACTTGAAAGAAAAGGAAAGGAAAAGTACATTTTTAGCCTTAACTGTGATGAGGTGGGCCCAGGCCATGAGAACACTTAGATGACTTACATGACGTTACATGAAGAGCCAATTAGCCTAACAACTTCCGAAAACTGTCTAGCTCAAAAGCACCCATTTATTAGGGCGCTTGGAATGTGCCAGGCCTTGTACTCAGCTCTTTCCTAGGGTGCGGAAATCATCTCAATCTCACTCAGTGCGAGATGTGATTCTCATTTTACCCAGGAGGAAGCTGAGGCTCAGAGGTCAGTGATTTGTCCGGAATCCCCCAGCTAGTAAAGGGAAGGGCAGGGAAACTCAGATAGGTCTGCCTAAATCCTAAACTGGAGCTCTCTCGCTCAGACCCTTAACCCTTGTGAGCTCTGACTTTGTCCTGTATCCAGCCTCTGAGGACAGCAAGCGTCCACCTGGTTTGTTTGCATGAAGATGAAGCCTCATGATATCTTCAGCTCTGACCCAAACTTCATGAGTCCAGAAGACTCTGGGGCCTTCCTGCAGAAGACTCTGGCCCTCATCCTGAAACTCCCTGGTCACAGCCAGAGGAGCAGCCACAGCAGATCTCACCCACCATTCTGTGGAAGAAGCCCACAGCCACTGTGTCTGTATGGGATGTGAGTCAGTGCCCAGAACAGGTAGCCTAGGGTGGGCCCAGAGGAGAGATGGTACACACTAGGTCTGACTCAAGGGAGACACTCGGCCCTCCCACCTAACAAAGGGCATGAGCCATCCTATACAGACCAAGCAGGGAGTTTCCTGAGTCCTCCTGATGGTCCCTCCACGCACCATGAACAACCAGGAAAGCCAGGACTCTATTGGTAACAGTTCATTCATCAGCATTTGTTTGCAGAAACCACGGAGCAGATAAGAATCCCTCCCCCCCCACCCCCCGCCCTGGGACTTTAGAGGTCATGATGGAACACTAGAGCATGGTAGTTAGAGTTTGGGCTCACGAGTCAGGCTGTCGAGGTTTGGAATTCTGATACTCTCACTTCCAAGCTGTGACATCCTAGGTGACTTATTCAAGCTCTCTGAGCTTTGGTTTCCTTGTTCATGAATGGGGATAATAGCCCCTATGTCATAGGATTGGTATGATGATTAAATGAGATAATGTGTGTGAAGCTCTTGACCTGATGCCTGGCACACAGCAATCACACAGTAATATGAAGTCATTGTGCAGGTGATAATGACGACGATGATGATGTAATCAGTGCTGACCAGACAAGGGGTTGCTGCAGGGTCACACTTGCCTCCTGCCTTTTGTGGACAAGCTGGAGCTCCTTGAACTCCCTACCTCTCCAAACCCTAAAGAGCTTTCCAGGTCCAGATGAAGTCTGCCTCCTCCAGGAAGCCCACCTGACCACTCCAGCCACATTGATTTCACCATATCTGAGCTCCCTTTGCCCACGGTCTATGTAGATATATCAACAACAAACTTGGCTCTAATAACTTCTCAGCTTCTCAAGCAGACAGTGACTCCTAGAGAATAGGACCCCCTTCACTGTCTCTCCTCTCTCCACAACTTGAGTTCAGGATTAGGTACACAGTAGATTCTTCCTAGCAGGCATTCAAGCTAATTTTGGTGTGGCTGTAGATGTCTGATACTCAGCTGGTTTGTCCCTGTCTTACTTTCCCCTCCTCACTTCCCTATGCTCCCTGCTCACTTGCCTTCTCCCCTGGTTCCACCCCGCAGGGCAAGAGGTTAAAGTCATGACCTTGTACAGTAGTGGTTCCCAGACTTTGGGATTTCACAGCCCTAAAAAATATCCAAAGAGATTTGGGGTGGGACCGTGGCTAGAACAGCCAAGTTTTTCTTTTGCCAAATAAGAACATTTTAAAAAATCAATTTTCACCATTATTTTAGCAAAGAAAAGCTGTTTTTGCACCAATAAAGCAGAAAATCCATAATCTCTGATTAAAAGCTAATACTTTAAGCTGAAAAAATTCAGCCTTATTGAGAAAAACAAACCGCCTCACTGTTGCCCTGACTTCTCTCCTTTCTCCTTGGACTGGAGAAAACAACCCCACTGTCCTGTGTTCACTCATGAGTCTGGGGACCTTTGTCCTGGAGAAGGCGCCTGCTAAGCTGGGGTCACCCTCAAACGCAAGAAGAGCCCCCAAAGCCTTAGATCCATCTTCCCATAAAACTTTCCCAAAGGAGGCTCATCCCAAGCCAGATCCTATAACCTCGGAGGCTGAAGTAGGGGAGGGCATGTGCCCCTCCTCCTGTACCCTTTCCCCTCCCTACTGGGGTGACTTGCTGGAGCCTCCTCCCAGCCCCCACCGCCCAATGGGGACAAAGTGAGACAGAGCAGCAAGCTCACATCCCGAAAAGGAGACTGGGGGAACATAATGGGCAGGATCTTCTCCACATCTCCATCGCCAAACTGAGCACTAGTAACCCCCACCTCCCAGCCCCCGGAAGGGAGGAAAAGTGGGCACTCCAGCCGTGAGGTAGGAGGCCGAGCCGCCCCGCTGAGCGGGCGCAGATAGGATCTGAACGCTGAAAAGGACGGCTCTGGCTCTTTGATCCGCAGCCAGCCAGGCCGGGCCTGGACCCGGAGGGGCGGGGCGGCCCTCTTCCGGCCCGGCTTTGCGCTGCTGCCAGGGGTCCTGTGGGGCTCTGAGCGGCAGAGGCGTCCAAGACACCCTCCCTCCCAAATACTCTCTCCCCCTGTGCCCTCGGGAGAGGTGGGAAAGTCTACAGTGAATCCAGCTCAGAAACCTGCTGGGGGGTGAGGTTCACTGCACTGCGATCCTAGAGGACCCATGTCTTAACTAGATGCCGTGGCCGAGCCAAGGCCAAGAGTCTTTTGGAGGCCCGCGTGGACATGACCCCGGGTGCCTTGGGTGATGGAAGCTGGCACACGTTCCCGCGTTCTTCTGGCTCTAATAGAGCCTGCCGCTTGGATCTTGCGAGAGTCCGCCAGTGTCATGCTCGGAGTCCGTTGGCTCCTTGGAAATGCGATGCGACTTCCCGTGTTGAGTTGCTTAGGACGACCCGCCCCTCGTCGGAATCCCGCGGCCCACGTGGCTGCCCAATGCCTCGCATCCCTGCGCCGCAGGTTCTAGGCAAGGAACTGAGTTTGGCAGGGGGGGGGGGGGAGGCGGTGAAAGATCGGCACCGGGTTTGGAGGGTTTGGAGGATCCTTCCTCCTCATCCTCTTGGCTGTTTCGCGCCTCGGAGATGCCACATGGCTGAGAAACGTCACGGGGTGTGATGCATTAGCTCCGCATGCAACAGACGCTGAGTAAATGTGTGATGGGCATGTGCTTGTGTTCGCGCTGTATGTGGGCTGCCTAGAAGGAAGTCCCAGATCGGTTTAGGGTTGCAGAATAGGGCAGAGAATGAGACTTTGAGGAACCCTAACCCTGCCAGCTGGGGTTGGAGCACGGCCTCGAACAGCCTTCCATCTCTAGGAAGTCCCCGTTTCAAGCCCTTGACGTACTGGCCGACGCAATTCACACTTTGGCTTGCGTTCTAGGTCACCCCCAGGGCCTAGGTGGAGAAACCTGGGTGCAGAACAGGGAAACCCATATTGTAGGTGAGGAAGTAGGGTCAAGAGTCTCGTTCAGAGTCCTCGCATTTCAGAAGGGTGATGCTTTTCATTGTCGGACGCCTCAGAGTCACGCCCGCGAGAGCGAGCCCTTTAAGATTGTGCGCGCCGGTCGAGTCCCGACCTCTCCGAGGCGAGGAGGAGCGGGGCGGAGCGATCGGGCCCCGCCCACCACCGGGCCCGCCCCCGGCGCTCCCGCCCCGCCCCCCGCACTCGGCCGGCGGCGCCTTTGATGTTCGGACCCGCCAGCTCCCGGAGCCGCTCAGCCTGGCGCCCGCGCCCCGCGCCCGCAGCCCGCCCAGGCGGAGTCAGCCCGCGCTCCGCCCGCCGCGCTTCGGGCTCGGAGGTCCGGACTCCAGGCTCGCCGCCTGCCGGGCAGGCTCCGCGCCCCGCACTCCCGCGCCCCGCGTCCCCGCGGGTGGAGCGCACCATGCCGCAGCTGGACTCGGGCGGGGGCGGCGCGAGCGGGGGCGACGACCTCGGCGCGCCTGACGAGCTGCTGGCCTTCCAGGACGAGGGCGAGGAGCAGGACGACAAGAGCCGCGACAGCGCCGCGGGCCCCGAGCGCGACCTGGCCGAGCTCAAGTCGTCGCTGGTCAATGAGTCCGAAGGCGCAGCGGGCGGCGCGGGGGTCCCGGGGACCGGTCCCGGGGCCCACGGCGAGGCGGAGGTCGGGGCGGAGGTGAGCGCCGGCCCGTGCCCTGCGCCTCTAGCTCTCCCGCCGCCCCCCGCGCCCCGCTGGCCCCGCCCTCCCCGGCCCCTGGGGTACCCGTCCCTCAGACCCCTCCTGCCCCAGGCCGAGAGCCCCCTGCCCCTCACGGCCCCTGTGGATCTCCCCGCAGGCTCTCGGGAGGGAACACACTTCGCAGAGACTTTTCCCCGACAAACTTCCAGAGTCTCTGGAAGACGGTGAGTTACAGCCTGGCCTCCCTCCACCCGCTAAGGCCCGGGTGGGAAAGGGGAGGGCCACCGGGGACTGGAGGGTGGAGGGGGGTGCCCGCCTCACGGCAACTAAAGGAGGCGGCAAAACCGGTGGGGGGGGAGTGGGGGGCGGGTTTCCCGGGCGCCGCCGGGCTCGAGTCACTTCCGGTGCCCTGACCTTTATAGGAGTAAACAGACCCCCGCCATCTCCGCCTCCCCTCCTGCCCAGGTGACTGACTAATCCCCAGTCTTGAGGAGAAAACGTTGGCCCAGGTTCCTTGGCCGGAGGGGCGGGCTGGGGGTCAAGTAGGGGCCGCCGAGGGGAGGCCTGGACTCGGGGTCCTTCGTCGGAACTCGGTACCGAGGCACCCCTTCTTCAGTCCCAAACTTGAACGGGACGCCTCGGCAATTGTTTCTCTGGAGAGCCGACCCCTCTGGCCGGGCGGGCGCTTCTCACCCAGCTGTGGTTTTTCCAGGCCTGAAGGCCCCGGAGTGCGCCAGCGGCATGTACAAAGACACCGTCTACTCCGCCTTCAATCTGCTCATGCACTACCCACCCCCCTCGGGAGCAGGGCAGCACCCCCAGCCGCAGCCCCCGCTGGTAAGTGGCCCCGGCAGCCCGCAGGCCTCTTGCCTGCTACCTCCTCGACCAGGTACGTGAGGCAGGGGCAACAAGTGACTTTTGCCTAGAACAAAATAGATAAGTGAGAACTCTGTTCTGGTGTTTTTTCCCATATACATCCCGTGGGATCAGAGGCAGGAGTAGCTGAAGGAAGAAGAGACCGCCCAGGCAGCCCCTTCCCTCCAGCTGTTGGCTTTTGTTCTCCCAGCTTGCTCACAAGCAGGTGCAGGCTCCGTCCTGATGCTTGGTAATGCCAGGGTAGAGTCTTCCGAGAAGTTTTGAGCTGACACCATCCCCTCCCCTCCTGAGGTGCTGGTGTTGGTAGTGTGGTCTGAGCTGTGAGCTTTGCAGTTAAGCCTTCTCCCTGAGCCTGAGCACGGAGCCTGGGTGTTAGGAGGAATGGGCAGAAATGCTGGGGTGCTTCAGAGCTCCTGGCTCTGCAGGAGAAACAGGCTGTATTCACTCTGTCCTTACTGGCATGGATGCACCCTTGCCAGAGAAAGACCACGAATGCAGTGGGTAGAAAGTGGGTTTTTATGAGGCTGGTTTGCTCTCCCGTGCACCAGGAAGGGCTTGCAGAGGTGTTTCAAATCAGTGGTGTGGATAAGGGACCTGGTGAATGATTTTGCTAATTAAATATAAGTTCAGTGCTTTGAAAGACTCCCATGATCATTACAAACCATGCTTTTCTGCCTCATTGGTACCAATGACCGAAAGGGTGAAGAGCCTATTCTGAGTGCATTGGAGCAGTGCAGCTGCACTTAGAAAAAAAAAGAGATTAGAGTTTCAGACTGTCCTCAGCTGGCCCAAGTCAGAGGTGAGACTAGAGCTCCTTAAGTACACGAAATGTTTGGGGGACTCAGGGCTGCAAGAGGAGGCCCAGTGCAGGAGGGGCCAGCAGGCAGCAGGCTCACACGGCAAGTGGGGCTCACCCCGAGGGAGCATGGTGACTGCCAGGCGGTGACTGCCAGGCAGTTTCAGATCACAGGTGAGGAGATTTGGTTCTAAAAGCTGTTTTCGTGCCGAGGCCAGTGGGAGGTGAGAAGATAGATTGCCTCTTCTCTCCAGAAACGCGGAATGGAAAACCTGGTAAACTCTTGACTCTAGAAATGAGCTCCTTGGCCTCCCCATTTTCTCAAACGCAGGAGTGTGTTGGTCTAATGGTCTTTCTGCTGTAGGGTGGCTCCGTCTGTGAGGTGTTTGCTTCCTTCAAGGCTGTGGGGGAGGCGGTTGCCCTTTGACCTCGCCACCTCATGCAACACCTCTCCCCAGAGACCTCCACCCTGCACCAGCAGACGCTTAACATAGATGCTTTCAGGGTCTCCTACGAGTAAACCCTTAGATTTTGGGGCTGACTTGACATAACGCAGCACTGCAAACCGGTAGGGGAGTTGCTTGGACAGGGCACTATGGTCACTGTGACAACCATGCCTAGACTAAAGGCCTCCTAAGACCAAGAACTGTCCGAGGAGGGCAGGCTCTCTTCCAGCCTCTTGTGATTCCACAGTGCTGCAGGGAGGCAGCGGGGTTTCTGCGTTCCTTTCATGGCCTGGGCAAGGGTGGGAGGGCCCCCTTCTCTGTAACAGTGTGGTGATAGGACCATTTGGTGTCCTTTAGCTCACACTGGTCAGAGTGTAGGCGGACGGATGGCCACCTCCAGCAGTCAGGATTAGGGGTGGGGGCTGAGGGCAGGCACACCACTCTTCCCTTGGCCTGTGTCATTTTTTTCTTCCCCCACTTCGGCATCTTTCTCAAGCCATAGTGGATGCTTTTCTGTGTGTCACAGCCTCTGCTGTAGAGGTAAGTCCCTTTGTTCTCGCTACCCAGCCTCAGCCTCCCACTGCCTGCCTTCTGGGCACACAGGAGGAAGAAGGCAAGGTCTGGAGTTGGCTTTCTGTGTGCTGGCATCTGCTGTGTCATGGGGCTGGGAATAAGGACAGAGGCGTGGGCCTAGGCTAGGGTGATACTGGGTGAGGAAGAGGTACATGAATACAAGCGAACCTTTTTAAAGCAAACCTGATAGTTAAGAAATGAATAACAAATAGAAGTAGTTGTTGGTGTTACCCAAAAAGTTGTTGGGCATTTAAATTATGGTTGGTTTTTAAAAGCAAAATCGATGTTTTGGGAACAGGTTTATCAGAAAAGATACTCTTACAGTGGGTCAGGAGTCCATTGTAGGGGCCCTGAGGAAAACCTGCCTTGGGAGGTTTCTTCGGAAGCTCTGCTTTCCTGAGCCCTTCCTCGGGGCACAGATGTCACGGAGCCCAGCCCCTGTGCCTTAGACCTAGGCCCCCTGTCCCCTTTGCCACTCTGAGGGAATCTAAGTGGTCAGCACTTGTGCTGAAGAGCTTTTAAGGCCAGTTGCTTAACGTCCCCAGACAGTGGGGAAAGCCCATGCCAGGGCCCTCTTGTGCACACGTGTGGGTGGCTACCATGTGGCTACCGTGTTGACTGCCTCAAAGGACATAGACTCAAACCTTGCTAGGAGCGATGGACCAGATGACCGCCTCACAGCCAACTGCCAGGGGGCAGAGGGAGATCTTTTACTTGAAAAGATGCTTCTTTTTGATACGTGGCTTCTTGTGAATTCTGTTTTGGAAAAGGAGAATTGGTCACAGTCTATTTCATGGCTGATGTTTGTCAAGCATCTAATGTAGGCTTGTAGACAGTTCCTGGCCTAGACCAGTAGCCACGGCTTGTTTTTGTTTTGTTGGCTTTGTTTTCCTCTGAGATTGGGAGGGGTGAGGGAGAAGGTCAACTGGGCCTGACTTTGAAGGAATTCTGGGATGAGTAAGACCTTGCTCCCTAGGGAAACCTCGATTCTTGGACGTGCGTGACTGCCAGTCTGGTGCGAATCCTCTTCTCAGAAAGAATGTGAAGCTCCCTTGCTCTTGTGGCCCCTCCACTTAGAGTCTTTGGTCTGGAAGGTTGCTGAGCCTTTGGCCATTTAGATGAAGTGTCTAGAATAGGCAGATGTATAGACATGCAACACAGATGAGCAGTTGCTAGGGACCAAGGGAGGAGGGCAATGCGGAGTGACTGCCAATGGCTATAAGGTTTCTTTTTGGGGTAATGAATGTGTTCTGGAATTAGATAGTGGTGCAAATTATACAACCTTGTGAACATGCTAAAAGCCACTGAACTGTATACTTTGAAATTCTGAATTTTATGATGTGCAAATTAGATCTCAATTGGAAAAAAAAATGGCTGAGCGTTTTGGCTCTTCCCTGAGCTCCACGGCAGTCCTGGTGTCTGTGCATGCCCCAAGCCAGGGGTCAGGCATCAGTTCCAATGTGGGGGAGCCCAGCTGAGGCAGTGGACTCTTGCTTGGGCTCCTGGCCATGGAGCTCCCATTTCCCGGCACCAAGGTCTGGGGTTAGGTGAGGGCTGTGCTCATGAGCCCTGGGGGGGGAGTAGGAGGTGCAAGTATGAGCAAGACTTGAGCAGGGGAAGGAAGTGCTGCTGACACAAGACCACTACGTCCAGGGCAGCTCTCGAGATACACCCACCCAGCCCTCCATAGCCTCAGACAGAGGGAGCCGGTGGGCCTTTCTGGGGAAGGTTGGTCGTGGTTGATCACCAGCCGTGGTTGGAGTGAAGCCTGTTAGGAGGAGTCTGGTACCAGGCTGGGCACCAGACGGATCACACCTAGCCTCTCTATCTCTGGGAGTGGCCTAGTTAAGTAGAAGAGACTGTTGAATAGACTGGAAACAGACCCTGGTTGGAGGAGTGCTGTCACAAAAGCCCCTACTGGGGCATCCTGGGTGGAGCCGGCCCCCACGTGGGCGGTGGGCTGTGGAGAAGGGTCCATCTAGCAGCTTCCTGAAAGTGCAGATGAGGACAGAGTACCTGGGCTCCCTTCCAAGCATGCCACATCTCTCACTTTTCTGCCTCAGGTGCCACCGAAAGCCCAGGCTGTCACCATCATTCACCCAGAAGGCACTGATGGCTGCCTCTGGCCTCCCTCTGCCTCAACCTTGGCCCCCACCTGAACCCATGTCCTCACCCTCAGTCCAAGTTCCACAGAGCAGCCGAGCTTCCATCAGGTCTCATTTCTTGCCTGATGAGACCCTGCAGTGGCTTCCCACTGTTCTGGAGTAAAGTCCAAACCTCTCACCACACCCTGAATGCCTGGGTGGCCAGCTCCTGCTGACAGCCCCTCCTCATCATCGCCATACTCTGTCTCCCTAAATAGCTTTAGTGTCCCAGTCTGTTTTATACCCGTCAGGTTCTTTCCCCCCTCAGGACCTTTGTACTTAATTCCTCAGCTTGGAACTCTCTTCCCCAGCTCTCTCTCATGTAGCTGCCACCTTCTCATGCTTCATTCAGGGCTTAATTCAAATATCACTTTCCCAGAGAGACCTCCTGTGAACATCTAAGTGGGACCCTCCATCATTCCCCCCCAGGCATCAGCTGCCTGGCCCACCTTGGTAGCTCTTCAGGCCATGGTGGTTGGCACTGCTTTATGATGTACTCCCTATACTTAGACCAAAGGCAGCCCATCTGCCAAAAGTATCTCTCAACCTTAGTTTTCTCATTTGCACAATGGGAGTGGCGAGCCCTCTTCCCAGAGCTGGAGTGTAGACTGGAGGCCATCAGTTCCAGGAAGTGCCCAGCGTGTCCTGGGCTCAAGGGGTGGGAGTTTGGCAGTAACCCGTCCCTTCTCCCTGCTCTCCTGGCTCCTCTGGGGCTAGTGGTGGCTCACTGGTAGGCCCTGCATAGACTCCCATCTGGAGGGCTGTATCTCTACTTTGGACCCCAACATCTGGGGATCTGAACCCTGGGGCCTGCTCTGGGGCAGGGACTTAGGTATACAGGCCCATTTCTTGCTGCCCTACCTCATCTAGGGATTCTTGAGCGGGAAAGTACTGTTCTTGGAGCCAGGATGGGAGCTATCACTACTCACTCCATCCTGAGATTCTCTCCTGCTCCCCCCAGAGAGTTACCTGAAAGAGGTCCCCCTTCTCCAGCCATGTAGA